GTTTATCTTTTTTCTTTTTTCTAAACTTTTAATTATCACTATATTATAATGCTATCTTTTTGGCTAAAAAACTTGATTGTTTTTATTCAGCATTACTTTCAGCATTCATACTTTTTCCTTCTTTAATTTATCTGCTATATTTAAACTAATATTGCTAAGAATGCATAGATTATTTTTTTGTAAAAAAAAAAAAAAAAAAAATCTGTCGTTATATTAAAGTACATATTAGACGATAGTTATTATGGTGAAAAAAACTGTATGATTAGAAATGGATAGCATTTAACTGTGGTGGTTGGTGAACTGCAAAAGGAAAAAGTAGCTTCATTTTTTTTTTTTTTTTACATTTTACTGGCTTATAAAAGTTGATAATTAATTTTTGTTTAAATGTTTATTAATCTCTCCCCTTTTTTTTGTCAAATTTGATTTTATAAACTGCTTAAGAAGTTATAATATAAGCTCAAATTTACCAAGAAAAAAATTTTTTTATTTCTGCTGATGCAGCTTTGAAAATTTGTGTTTATTATACACTTAACAGAAATGATTAACAGTGTATTGCTTTTCCATAAAAATATTCTATTGTTAATCTTTATTAAAATAATTGACAAAACCAAATTTATTATCAAAATTTGTCAACCTCTGTGTTTTTACTTTACTGTTATTTATAATTTTTATTCAAATCAACAGCTACAAAAAAAAAAAAAATAAATGAATAATTTAAATAAATAGTTGTTAAACAGATGAATTAGACTGAACTTTTTGCTTGTTGCTATATAAGTTTATTGTAAACCTTTTAAAGCTGATAAAAATTGATTTCTTCTGTAGTAATTGTAGAAAAAATGATCAAAAATAAAAATTTTATATTTTTTAACAGTCAATCAATGGAGAAAGAAAAAAAGGGGTAAACGTTGAAAAGTTTTAGGTGAAACAAAATGTGCCATGAAAAGTGTTAGCAATACAGCTGATTAAATAAAATTTACTATTTTTTTACCAACTGAATATTTTACAAAAAAGAAAAAATTGAAATAAAAATTAAAGAAATACAGTTTTAAAAAATATCTTAAAATTTTTTCATCTTTTACATTGTCATTTTATTATTGGTTTCTTTTGGTGGGGAAGCAGTTGAAATCAGCGTTCAGCAAATGCAGCAGTGTCTTCAATAGAAATTCAGTAAAATTAACCTAAGTAAACATTTCTTTTTCCCTCTTTATCAACAGTGTTTCATTTTTCTTTACATTTAGATACATTTTTTTCCTTCTAATCATGCTAAGCAGTACACGGATTATCACCAAATCAGTACTACAGTCAACCAATTTCGTCTTAAAACGGTGGGTGATGATTTATTTATGCATGTCAATTCCAATTTACTATGGTTAAACAGTAAATACTGTTAAACTCTAAGCTATCGATGTTTACTGTTTAACAGATTCTGCAATTGTCTGTCACTCTGAGCAACAGTTTAGTCAAGTTTTACAATCAACCTGTATGAATAGTCACTGTCAACATTTGTATATCTGTAACTGACAAAATCTGTAATAACAGCTACACAGAAGGTGTTTCTTCTACAGATTATGCAGTCCACTGCATACAACACCAAACCTTTTTGACAAAGATTTTGGCGACCCTCACTCTATGTCTGCTGAAGAATTGGAACTTTATAAATTGTACCGTCAAGAACGAGTAACACCAACAAAACGTTCAGTGGACTTGTTAAAAACACCTTCCCTGAACAAAGTTTGTTCTTTTCTTAGTTTTAGTATAAATATTTTTTTTTTCTGGTTTAGTGGTAACAATTGTTTTTAAAAAAGTTTTTGCCATAAAGAGTTCAAAGCTCAGGCAACGCTTTAACTTATCGATAGGTCAAAATAGATGTACCAAAAAAGTGCATTGATCTTCTACATTACATTCGTCAAAGAAATGATGACTGCATTAGAACACGGTGCAGTTGACCGTTAGTTGATTGACCACAGTGCAGACTTTCGCTGTTTTTAATTTGGAATGCTAAAAATGTTTCTTGAATCTTTTTGTTGTGACCGCGCAGTAAAATGGGTATAAACACTAAAAAATGCTTTAAAAAACATTTTATTTTTGTTAGTTACAAGCAAAAAGTTCATTCCTGAAGATTTTATCAACATAAGAGCAATATTATGACTTTTCTACTAATTAAAGATCACTATATGAGTGGTAATCAATATTTCTTTCAGGGAATGGGTTTTACATTACGTGAACGACAGTGTCTTGGCATTCACGGCCTGATTCCACCAGCATTTATGACGCAAGAACAGCAAGCTTATCGAGTAATGCACAAACTACGAAATCAACCCAACGACTTAGCACGTTATATACAATTGGATAATTTACAGGTATCTTATTTGCTTCACGACAAACTATATCTTGTAATTTAGTCGTATAAAAGTATTTTTGCTTTAGTTAAAATCTTTCATATTTTTAAGGATCGTAATGAGAAACTGTTTTATCGTGTGGTTTGTGATCATGTAGAAGAGTTGTTGCCAATTGTTTATACTCCGACTGTTGGTCTCGCTTGTCAAAATTTTGGATACATTTACCGAAAGCCAAAGTATGTGCTAAATTTTTGGTAGATCAAATGACGCAAGCTTTTCTAATACCGACAACTTTTTTCATTTTTTCTTACTCTCTGGCTATAGTTGAGCTGAAGATTAACGAAGAAGCCAATGTTAATTAAACAGAAAAGCAGAATGACACTAAATTGTTCATAACTGTTGTTACTTCTTTTACTAGCCGAAGATTGAGATAGAAACGATTGATTGAAATGGAGCCAAAAAAAATTCTTACTTGACAGTTCATCGTCAATAAAAAAAATCTGTTGTAATTTTTTTTTTTACAGAATGCACTTTGTTGTCCATTCTACATTAGAGTTTTAAAGTATTAGTGTATAAAGCACTAAACAACTGGGTCTCAATAGTACTAGTAACATCGACAATTTTTTTCTCGACTAATCCTCTCAGGGCTCAGTTTTTGAAATTCCGGATGCAATTCGTCTCGCTCTAGACGTCCTACATAAAAAGGTTTATATTTGAAAATATTTTCATTTCTTGGACATCTATTATTTTTTTCTTAATAGTTCAAATCTTGAAGAAAGCATTGTATTTTAGAGGAGTCTACATCACCATTAACGATAACAGTGTTAGCAAGATACATCAAATTTTATGTAATTGGTCAGAACCAGATGTGAGGGTAATTTTTCGATAACCTTTTCTCTTAAATTGTTTTTTAAAATTTTTCTTTTTTTTTGACATTATCAATTGGACTATTTAGGCAATTGTTGTAACAGATGGAGAGCGCATTCTTGGCTTGGGTGACTTAGGCGCATACGGTATTGGAATACCCGTTGGTAAACTTTCGCTATATGTTGCACTTGGCGGTGTGCAGCCGAGATGGTGCCTTCCTGTTCTGTTGGACGTAGGTACCAATAATGAGGTATAATAGAAAAATTTGAGTAAATATTTATATGATTTTTCACCTGCACAGAGAGCAAAAACTTTTCTTAAGCGTTCTAAACAATGCAGAAAGTTTTTGGAAAATGCTTTTCAGAAGTTCCTCAATGATCCAGTCTATATTGGACTTCGTCATCGGCGTGTGCGTGGAGAGCAGTACAACAGTTTGCTAGAAAACTTTATGAAAGCCTGTACAAAAAGGTAATTTCGAGCATTGTCTGATGTTTGTGAAGACTGTGAAGAAGAACAACATAATTAGTGACGATTACCTAGATTTGGTCAAAAAGTTTTGATTCAATTTGAAGATTTTGCTAATGAAAATGCTTATCCACTACTCGATCGATTTCGTCATCGATATTCAACGTTTAACGATGACATTCAAGGTAAAAAAATAAAAATGTTTATTTTAATTGTCTTCACTCTCTTCTTCTGTTTTTTTCAGGGCTACTGTTGAAAAGTCTTTTTAAATATCTTTCATTTCTTTGTTTTTTAAAAAGAAACTTGAAAACTAAGAGTTAACTGCAAATTTTGAAATAAAAAGTCATGCAAATACTGTTAACATTAATCAGTAGCACATGAAAAATGCTAATCTTTGTTTTAAGAGTCTGCCAAATAGTCTCTCTTATTCAGGTACTGCTAGTGTCGTTGTAGCTGGCTTAACGGCATGTACTCGAGTTACAAAAAAATCTTTTTCAAAAAGCAAATTTCTCTTCTACGGTGCCGGCACTGTAGGTTTTCCCTGTTGTTATTGAGATAAAAGCTCATTAAGAAACATATTTTAACTTAATAATTGCTTCAATATATTCAAATTTCAGGCAGCATTGGGTATAGCAGATTTGTGCGTACGTCAAATGCAATTAGAGGGTATAAGCACAGAAGAAGCTATAAATCGAATTTATATGATGGATATTGAAGGCCTGGTGACTAAAAGTAGGAACAGTAGAAATCGGAATATGACGTATGCCAAAGATATAGCGCCAAGCAACAGCCTGCTAAAGGTTACAGTTCTTTTCAATAGAGTTACAAATAGCTATTTGTTCGCAGCATATTTCATTCCATCATTTTTAACTTTCAATATAGTATTTTTCACAGACAGTAATCAAAATAGCTCGTGTTTGAAAATTTTGTATATTTTCTTATTAATTTAGTTATTTTATGTACACTTCTTCACAGGTAGTTGAAGAGGTAAAACCAGATGTTTTAATCGGGGTTTCGACAGATGGAGGATCATTCACTGAGCCAGTGTTACGTAGCATGGCAAAAATCAACCAGCGACCAATTATCTTCGCCTTGTCTAATCCTACAGACAAATCTGAATGCACAGCAGCGGAAGCTTATCGGTACACTGAGGTCGAAAAGCAAATCAATTTTATTTCTTTTTTTTTCATACTTACAACATACAGAGTTTACTGCTTTATCTTTAGGGTAGAGCGCTGTTTGCAAGCGGAAGTCCATTCCCGAAAGTAGAAATAAATGGAACAGTTTACGAGCCTGGCCAAGGCAATAACTCCTATGTCTTCCCAGGCGTCGCACTTGGTGTTATTCTTTTTCAAGTTCGTCATATTGACGATGACATTTTCCTTATAGCTGCAAAGGTTATTATCTACTGAAAAAAGTTTTTATAATTACCTACTTAGTTCATCGCTAATTATTTATGCTATCAATTTAAATGCTATTTTTTAAAATTTTCAAAAGTTGCAGGAAATTGCTTCACGCGTGACAGAAGATGATCTGAGTTGTGGTCGAATATATCCACGTTTACAGGATATTCGTGAGATATCTGTATACATTGCGATAGCAATAGCTGAACATGCTTACAATGTTGGTCGTCTGCTGCTTTTTTTTTGTAATTTCAGAACTGTTTTTATGTCTAATAACTATCAATGTACGCTACGGAAATTTAATACAACTGTGTTTTGTTTACTTGCAGAAAGGCATTGCTGGTTTGTACCCAAAACCGCGAGATTTGGAAAAGTATGTTCGTGCTTATCAGTACAGTACCAAGTACGATGATATGATGAGTGCTATCTACGACTGGCCAGAAACAGATACAGTTTTTGGGTTTCCGATTCCCAAAAACAACAGAAAAGATGACCATTGATAACAATGTAGTTATTTTTGTCAAATAAAATTTGCTTATTAAGCTATCAAAATGCATCCTTTTAACTGTCTATTGTTTCCCAATCTTCAGTGCCAAATTTGATTACGGAAAAAGCTTTAAAATGTCAACAATTTTTTGACACCCAAATTGTGTAAATCGTAGTTCTATGTGTAATGTTTTTTTAGGCTTCTAACCATCTTTAAAAATTAAAAAAAGAAAGCACTAACAAAATTTTATTTTTGCCATATATCTAAAATCTTACGACTTACAAGTACATTTTACTAATCGTTTTGGTTTTAAAATTTAACTATAGAATTAGGTTTTTTGTTAATCTTTGTTTATTTAGTCTGAACTTTTGGACCAAAATGTTGAATGAAAACAAAATCTTTAGTTTATTAAATTTTTTGCATCGAAGCAAAAAATGAATAAATAAACGACTGAGTGCCGCAACAGCTATAAACTGTCGATAAAGTTTTCTTCAATTGGTGATGATAATATCACTTGCAGTTTGGTTTGCTGTTGTGAAATCCAAAGCGTAGATAAAGATTATAGACTTTTGAGTATTATCTTTTGATTGTATAGAATTCAATTAAGTTAAAATTAGCTACAGTCTAACAGTATCAGATTAACAGTAAATAATAATCTACAATAACTTTATTACTACTTACTACTTTATACGCTAAGAAATAGTTACTGGCTGTTTTTTTAACTAAAAACAGTTTTTTTCTCACTGACTTCAAACTGAAAGAGCTGCTTGGTGGATTTTTTTTTTTTTGACGAAAGTTTTTATATGCATTTCTTAAGACCATCTTTGTATTATCAAACATTTATAATGTTTTTAGCAGGGAGATTACAGTCATATTTTGAATAAAAAAAACGATTATGTATGAAATGATAACTTTATTTTATGACTTAAATCTTCAAATTCACTGTTTTCCTTTCAAAAAAAAAAAATGAATTTGGTTCCCCCGAACGTCTATTAGCAGTTTCTTGCGTCACTGTGTTTGATGTAGTTATCTTTCGAATGCGTTTACCCAAATACCATAACAAAATTTTTTTCAGCAACAAAAAGAATACCATTTTTTAAATTCTTTTTGTCCAAAATGGTAATTTTAAAGTTTAGATTGAATCTTTAACACATCATTGGCTTTTTGTACGGCAACTCACTGAAGAAATTTCAGAAAAGTATCTAAGCAAAATTTTTTTAGTTCTCTATTTTGTCTTTTCAAGACTTAAAACAGGCAACAAACAAGACGATAAACCACTAAGACCGTCAACACGAAGACTGAATGATAGAAAAATTTCACTTAGCAAGACGGCATCAACAAAAATGTGACCAAAAATAATAATGGTATGAAGTTTTTTTTAGCTCAGAAGCAAGCAGCAATTCAAAAACCTTCTAGAAACACTATCGCCAAGTATAAATATACTCAAAAAACTTTCCCAAATCTCCAAATTTTCAAAATTATGCATTCATTCATTTTGTCATTCATGTGCTTTTATGGCGGAAGACCAAAGTTACATAGCAAAGCTTCCGCAGCAAAATCGTCTGATAACTGTTATCTAGTCGAGGAACTTTGCATTTCTCAACTTTACCAATGGCAAGATGTAAATGAAAGAGTCTTTTTTGCAATCAAAATAGAGGATTGACGGAAAAAAAATTATAATTCAATTTGTAAAGTTTTAAACACTCGCCTCTGTAACAGTGCAGTAGATTAATTGTTCAATTAATTAAACTCCCATTTCTTTCTAAAGCTTTATTGTAACAACAAAATACTTTTGCGTTGTAATTAAGATGTAGAAAAACGCTTTTTGTTTTTATTTAGAAAATGAAAAAACTATTTATTTTAAGAAAAATTTAAGGTTATTTTACTATACGTTTGACCAACAATGAACATCAGTTTTATTAAGGTGCTGTTGGAAATGTTAAGGACAGCTGTGAATTGTTCAGTGAAAAACAAGTGGTTATTTAAAGCTTTTCCCAAGCAGACGACAGAAAAGTGCCAAAGTTGATCTAAGCATAATTCAGAAAAAAAAA